ATTATTGTTCAATAATGCCACGACAAAAAGGTTCTTTTTGGCTTGAATTCGAATTACTCGTTGATAATTCAAATGGAATGGAAACGTATTATTGCAAACATTGTAATACTAAATATGCCAAAAATGCCTCAAGACTTCAAAGTCATCTTGAAAAATGTATTAGTTACCAAAAAAAGTTAATCGAGTATGAATTAATAAATACTTTATCAAGTGATAATAGTACAAAAAAACGGCGTATTCAAGATGAGTTAGATTATAAATATAGTGAAAGTGATCAAAAAGCATTGGAAAATTTATTGGCACGGGCTTTTTGTTCAGCTGGAATGTCATTTAATGTCATTGAAAATGAAGATATTAAAGCTGTATTTCAAAAAGATATTCCATGGTTTAAGGTTCCATCACGATATTGTTTATCAAATACACTTTTAAATCAAGAACATGTGAGAATTAAACAGCTTGTTGAAAGCATTTTAAATGAATCCGAATATCTTTGTATTACAAGTGATGGATGGTCTAACATTCATCGATTGCCAGTAATTAACTATATGATTACAACACCAAGTCCTTTTTTTTATAAAGCAATATTTACTGGTGAAGAACAACACACAGCAATCAATATAGCTAGGGGAATTGAAAATATTATTAATGAAGTTAGTGAAAACAAGATTGCTACAATTATCACGGATAATGCTAATGTTATGAAAGCAGCATGGGAAATTTTAAGAAAATCGTTTCCACAAAAAGTATTTATTAAATTTATTTATTTTAATAATTTATTTATTTTAAATATAATATAATTTATGTTTTAAAATTATAATTTATTAGATTTTTGGGCACACAGGCTTAATCTTTGGATCAAGATATTATTAATTTAGAGTGGGCATGTCAAATCGTACGATCTATGAAAGAAATTCTTAATTATGTTCGAAATTATCAAATAAGCTTGGCAACACTACGTCGGCTTCAAATGGAAGTTTATAATAAACATATATCATTATTACTTCCTGGAGATACTCGATGGAGATCTGTATTTTATTCAGCAAGTAATTTTTTAGAGACTAAAACAGCAATTCCAAGAATGACTTTAGAAGATAATATTAAAATATCTGATGAAATTAAAAATAAAATTTTATCAGATAATTTTTGGCTTAATCTTAAAATTCTTTGTAATTTTCTTTCGCCTTTTGCTATTTTTTTAAAAAAATTGCAAAATGATCAACCTACACTTTCAACAGTTTATTCAGAATTATGTAAATTAAAAATTTCTATTTCTGAAATTACTGAAGCTCTCAATGATTTTAAAACCAATTCGATTAGCAAAGGAACAGAATGATGGAATAACTTTCTTTATAATCCAGTAATTATATTATCATATAAACTTGATCCTCAATATCAAGGTAAAACTTTAAATCCAAAAAAATGGGATTCAATTATTGAAGATGAATTAATACGGTTAGTACCAAGCCAAGATCAAGAAAATATATTAAGCGAATATGCAGAATATGTTTCTAAAAAAGGC